ATGTTCTTTAATGTTTTACATCTTCTTATTGGATAAAGAAGCAGCTAGAGAAGTAGCAGCAAGTTGTACTCTATACTGAGCATTTATACTTAAGAGGAAGAGGAGGGAAAAGGTTTGTGTATGTCAGTCAATCAGAGGGCATACTGCTCAAGGGTAGTCCAGTCTCTGCACGTGCACTGGATCTGGTCTGAGTCTGTCATCCTTATGTCAGTAGTAGCAACTTTCCCTTGTGCTGGGAAGGAGGGTAAACACCTAGGAAATAGTCTGGGAAATGTGCTTCTGCTGGAGGGCTTTGTGAGTGTGAAGAAACAGTAAGGAAAGGAGGGAGTAAGAAGGTTTATGCAAGTGCATCTGTGCTTCACAGCAATTTCTGTGATCTCTCATCGCTCCCTCTTGCCGATGTGGCAGCAGCAGCCAACTTTGCTTAGTTGAGCCTGTGGACAGGAGCAAGCAGGTGCACTAATTATTATTGCCTGTTTCACTAGGGAAGTGATGCTGGGTTGGAGCTATCAGTGACTTGGAGAGTGACTTTTAGGCAGCCATGAAGAAATAAATTTAAGAAAGATCTTTCCAATCTGTAAGTAGAAGAAATTGAACCTTCACACTCCCAGTCTGACGTAAAAGCTTCATAGTCAGTAATGATCACTGTGAGGAGTTTGTGTCATGCACTTCCTTGGAGATCTTCCCTCCTCATTCCGCAAATTCAACAAGGCTGTATTTAAGTCAGTAGCTTGATGTCTGTTACCTCAGGAGTCCCTGTCTCATCTCCTGAAAAGTGCAAGCATGTTTCAGTGTAGACAGCACATTTCAGAGTCAGCAGCAGCAGAGGACCCTGGCTAGCACCCTGTCCCTCTACCCTTTGCCTCTCACCCCACAGCTTGCCTGTGGGGCACAAGCCTGGTACTGGCAGCTTGCAGCAGTGAAGCCAACTGATGGTCCTAGCAGAGAACATCAGGTTTAGAAAAGTGAAGGAAAGCATGAACAAGATTATGAAAGGGGAATTTTAGGCTAGGTATTAGGAAAAAATCCTATACTGTGAGGCTGGTGATATACTGGAACAGGTTGTCCAGGGAGGTTGTGGATGCCCTGGCCGTGTTCAATACCAGGCTGGATAAGGCCTTGAACAACCTGGTCTAATGGGAGGTGTCCCTACCTACGGCAGAGAGGTTGGAACTAAATGATCTTTAAGGTCCCTTAAAACCCTTACAACAATCTATGAGTCTTTGAAAGAAATAAGGGCAGAGCAAGGGCTTAAGATGAGGCTTACAGAGCAAAGAGTTGAACTAATGTGTATCGAATCCCAAGACATGAAGATAGGAGAAATAGTGGCACATGAACAGGAGGAGAGATAATGACAAGCATCAGTTTACAAAGGAAACAATGTGACAGTAAGATAAGAGAAGAGGTGCAAATGTTCTCTGTATAGAAGTGAAGCTTTTCAATTGGCACTGATGATTAGGTGAGGAAGTCAGGTTGGACTAAATGGGCAAAGGGCAAGGGTGATGTGAAATCAAAGGCAAAAATACTATTTTGTTTTTAACACCTCACAGTTTGAGGATACCCGTAATAATTATTTGCCCTAGTCCTGCATTGCCAGATATGCCAGTCACTTGGGGAAGAAAGCTCTTACTTGTCACAAACCCAGTAAATTAGTGAAACAGAAACTAAGGTGCAGTTATCGTAGTTGCAGGGTGTAGTGAATCATGCAACTCACGAAAGAATTAAACTCACAAATTTTGGACATGCATTATTAAAGAAAAGTCTAACACGCTGATAAATGAATAATAAAAGAATAATTCATAAGTTTTTTATCCTGTTTCCTGTGAAACAGGGCTCATAGGACTGTGCTGTCTGTTTTGCTCTTCAGTCTTTTCCTGTACTAGTAACTTTTGATAGCCGCTTTTGAAATCACTTGCAAAAACGTGGAAGGTCAGTAATACCTTCAAGTAGACTTTAAAATCAGTAGGTGGCTGGAGGAGAGATCAAGTTAGTATGCTTGAGGTAAGCTAAACATTGACATTATATATTCATTCTGGCAACAGCCAGGTCGACAATCCACAAATCCTTCCCAGTTACTGTCACAGCCTCGCTCTGTCTTGCTCTGCATCCTGAAAGCAGGGGAAGACAACTGCAACGGGAACGTGGGAGGAGGGTTAGGGACAAATGATGCAGCACCTGAACAGTGAACCAGGCTCCATTATTTTCTTGTTTCTAATGGTATGGTTTTTTTAGAAATCTGATTTTCTGACTGCTTTTACCTGAGAATCCCTGAAGCAAATAGATGTTGTTTCATCTACACCATTAAACAAGCCTAAGGGATTAGAAGATTTCTGTTCTTTTTTAACATTGGATAGATTTGAGAGCTGAAGATACACTTTTATCTTTAATGAAACTGCACACTATTTGAATGTTTGAATGTTTCCAGAGTTTAATTAGCAATACTTGAGCATTGCTCTACAGCAAAATCTTACCTCTGTTTGCTATTTACAGATTTATTGCTTATATGCTATAAATTTGTTCTATATTAATTCAATGCATACAGACTGTGAGCATCATTTTTACCTTCTTTCTTGTTTCTTATTTTCTTAAAATACACTGAGATCCTCCAAGATACAATGTGAAATCCGTCCTCTTTAATAAATCAGTGTGATTTTAAAGATTATTAATAATATTAAATATAATTATAGTAAATTTCCTATAATGTATTACTATAAAAGATTTGTATAATATGTATATCTTTAATAAGAATATTTATTAAATATTAATAAATTCACAGGTGGAATTATTCAGTGGCATTCATATCCTAATCTCAAGTACTCTAAGTGGCATCCTTACAAAATATGTATTTGCTTCTCTTAATAGAGGCTCAGGCTTTAAATTTGAAGATCCCTTGTTATCTAGTCCAAAAAAATCTCCAACTAGAAAATGGCAACTCTTGCCAAACCAGAAAGGATATGGAAATTTTGTGAAAGATCCTATTTTATTTATATCTCAGCTGCTAGCATTGATAACTGCAACCAAAAAAATTCATTGTTTCACTATTTGTCAAAAAAACATTTAAGCAAATAGAAGAGAGGTTAAAAAAGAACAAAAATTATGATGTTTTTGTATTAATATATACCTTTACTGTGATCTTTTGCAGAGGTAGCATTGAAAAATGACTCTGGATTGTCTAATGTACTTGCTTGCCAAAGGCAAATTAGCAAATATACTTATTGTTATACTCTGAAAATGTAAAATATGTATCCCTACTTCATTTATATAAAAAAAGTTAAAGTCTGATTTTGATTCATATGTCTTCAAGGCACATGTAGGTACAAGCATTACATTATCCTTTCATATCATTGTAAGTGTTCAGAAATCTAGTTTTTTCTCACCTTATCTTACATTTCATCCGTATAGGATATTTGGTATATGTGTTTATGAGTGATTTTAATCTCAGAGGTTTCAAAGCTACATGTGTACAATTTATGAAATCTCTTTAATAGAAGTTTACTTGGTATCTCTGCCTACAGATTTGATTCTGAATGTGAGACTTGTTTGTCTTTTGTAGTTTTCTTTTGATATTTGTTTTGGGATTACATGATGAAGTGGGATGATTTAGAGAAAAGATTTATTAAAGATTGATTATTATGGCTGTCTCATGTTGAGCAGATGATAACCAAGCTGGTCCTACTCTTCAACTGCAATAGGCCAGTAAAAGGGCATTGCATCAGGCAGGAAAACAGTAACTGTAGATGTGAACCGACCTAATTAACTGATTTTACAGCAAAAGTTTTCAGTCCACCTCACTGTCCACTTATGTGGCCCAAAATTTTGTCAGTTACAATTTTGCAGGAGACAGTGTTGAAACCCATGGTAAAATTAAGGTAAATGTTAATAAATTCAAGCTGACTGCTACCTGGACCACCTTCCTACTTTTCATCTGTTTGGAAATGTTTTCCCAGAGGATTCATCCCATGCAAGCTTGTAAATGGCGGACAAGTATTTTTATTCATATATATGCGTGTGTATGTGTGTATACACATGTGAGCTGGCTAGAGGTATAATCTACGTTATTAATAGGATGCAGTGGCCTAATTTTGAGTGGTGAAGACATCACAGTTATTCTTAGACATAAAATATTTGATCAGAATATCCTTTTATCAGTCAAAAATACTCAAAGAGTTATTGAATATTAATTTTGTAGGGGTATGCATTTATATGAAGATAGAACTTATAGTAATTGCATTTAATGTGTCTTTTTTTTCTTTGAAAGAACTTTTATATATATATAAATTACATTTTTTTCCAGTAGTGTTTTACAAAATAATGTAGTGTGCACTTTGTAGAGCCGTAAGTTTCATTGCATAATATCTATTGATTTCAGGGAACAAAGAAAACAGTTATAATTTTTTCTTAATAGAAAAGACCATGGCAAATCCCCCCCCCCCCAGTATAATTCTCATGTAAGTTCACATCACTCCTGGTTCAGGAGAAATGCATTGTTAAAAAACAGTATGAAAGTGAATTGTTTGAATTTGAAAATACAGTGTGTCTTCTAGCAGATAGCATTTAATTAGGTTTATTTCTGATAGCTTTGTTGGCAGAAGACCATAGTACGTCTTAGCATACGTGTTTGAATTTCAAAGAATTTGTTCATTTGTCTACCTGTGACAAACAGAAGTCCTGTATGTACAGAGTAATCATCAACTTTCTTTGTCAGCAGATGGGCTTGATGATATCTAATTCTGAAAAGGTGTGTCCTGGGGAATTCACACTTTTTGGACGAGTCTGTTCAAAGGACAGTTTCTTGTAGTGTTAATCTTTTGATAACAGATGAGAGTTTGTCATAGATCTCATATGTACATAACTGATAGAGTTTTAAACACTCTAAATTTTCAATTTTGATTTTTTCTTCAGAATTCTAATATGTAAATCCCATTTGTATTTAAGGCAATTGCGGTAAAAAAGATGGAGATGTATTTTGAAAGATTAAATTTACTGTTATTTCTCTTCAGTTTCAGGCACTGCATTCTGTATCACAAACACTGGTTTTGCTAGGAAAGAACAACGTCTTAAGAAATTCTTTAATATCACTTCTACTCTCAGAAGTACGTCAGTTTGCTGAGCAGCTGTTGCAGGCCCACCAGGTACTGTCATCTTTTCTCTTGGAGAAGGGCCGAAGAGTGGTGTTGGGGAGTGTTTTGGCTGTATCTGTTTGTTTTTTAAAATGTAATAAATGCATTATCTTATAAAGTATGCGGATTCAAGAACCCCAAAAATGCTAGGACCTAACTTAAACAGCAAATTCAAAAAAAAAAAAAAAAAGGGGTATAAAGTGAAAGAAAATTTCCATATGGAAAAGTGAAATTATCAGACTGTGTAATAAAGAGACTCAATACGTTTTAAGATCATGCTATAAAATTTGAAAAACATTTGAAATAATTAGTTAGAACACTTAGTATAATGTGTAAATTATTGACTGTGCAGGTAATACAACTTGGGGATCCACCTGAACAAATTATTTCTGTCTCTTGCTCACGTAAAACTGGAAAGATCATTGCTTCATTTTATTTCAAAATTAGATTTCATGTTTTACATTATAATATTAATTTTCATGATGCAAAAGTTATTCAACACATAATATTGTATTTAGTTTGTTGCAATGAATAGAAGGTAAGGAGCAGAATAGAAGTTGCGGTAAAATATATATTTAGGTTAAACTTTTTCAGTAAACTAGAGTTAAAAAAAAGAGAGGAAAAGAGAAAGTGAATGTTCCTTTAACATTTGAAGAAGAGAGGTGTGAAATAAATAGGTTTTATAGATTTTTCGTGTATTTGTATGTGGTGGGTATGTATTTTATGCAAAGTGTTCAGCCTCATAATCATGGGATTATGACTTGATTGTATACTATCCTAAAACAATCAATAAAAAGAAAACATGCAGCTTTTTATCTGTTGGCCAATAAATTTATTGATACATACAGAAAACATTAATCGTAGATGTATTTAGTGGTGTTCCAGTTTAACAAATGTCTTAAGTGTTGCTCAAGAACTTTATTATTTTTCTCTCTAGGATATGATATGGTAGTAAGTTCAGACTGCTGGGGGGGAATATGTAATTTCCAACACTAATTTCTACTATGTTTGAATCATATTCTGAAAGCAGTTCGGAAAGGCAAATTTTTAAAGAATTAGACAAAGAGCTGTGTCTTATTTTTAGTCACTGTTAGCATACAAGACACTGATGGCAACCAAAAGTCAATAGACTTAACAAATGTAAGAATAGAGAAGTGTAATTAGAAACAATAATTGGTTTTTAAGTTTAAAGAAGTTGTTAGTTTTTAACATTATTAAATCTCACCTGTTTAACAGAATTAGTCATCCTTCCTGTTAGAGTTTTTGCCAGTGGCAGCACAGAACCTTTCAGTGATGTCAAGCTTACACTGAACATTGCACTTTGCTGACTTGGTTACCATGATACTACTTAAACTTGCATACTGTAATTTTAGTTATTGCTTTTGTATTTGGTGAAGCCTTAGGAGCTGTGTGTCTATCTGTAGCTGACACTTTGTAGGACTTTGAAAAGCTGCAGTTCATGTAGGAAAAGTAACTGAAGTTCTGGTTTGCTTAGTTTGCTGTGAAGTCAGTGTTTTTAAAGTTCGTGCATTCTTGCATTTAGTCCAAATAGATGTATTGTGTTCATTTAAAAACCCTTATACATTCTGTATGTGATAATATAATATGGAAATATATCACAATTGGACTCCAAACTCTGGTATTTCTGATGGTCTGATTTACAGACCTGCTTCTAAATATTTCTTTGTGTAGCATTATTTTTGGTAGGTACAATTCTAAAAAGGGTTAAAGTATTTTTCCTTGTTTTGTAATCAAATCTAATGATACAGTATCAGTTTGAAATATACAAAATGACAGCTTTAAAAAAAAAGCTTCTTAAATACTTAAATTAGGAAAGATAATGCTTCATTAGCTGACAAGTATCCTAATTATGTTTTGTTACTTAAGCAACTCTGCTGTTTATTGCAAAGGTGTTTCATGTGTTCCATTTGAAACAGTCAAATTAGGGACTCTGAATTTTAGTTCTGATTAGAGGTGTGCAAATACATGGGTTTTGTTTTGCTTTGTTGTTTGGTTATTTTTTTGTTGTTGTTGGCAGCTGGGAGAAATAAAGAAGTCATCTAAGGCATGTATTCAGGTTAGCTTGCAATATTGTTTTGAGCATTTGATGGAAAACAGAAAAAATACCTTATTAATCCAAGCAAATTTCTATGTATTTTTTAATAGTAATAATTATTTTTATAATTATTTATAATTGTAATTTTTATCATTTTTATAATTATTTTTTAAAAGTTGAAGATGGTTTTCCATACTGACTTGTATTGAAAACAAAATTCCTTTTAATTTTTTTAAATGAATCATCTAGATAGCTCAAAACATTTTCATTTTAAATTCCTCCTTAAGGCTTGAGCTAAGATCCAAATAGTTTCTCAAATGTGTGCATTCCAGAATATGCAACTTTATATTCCACCATTTCTTCAATGGGAAGTGTGCTCAGCTCAAACCCTTGTGGGTTTGTGGATACATCCTTTGATAAATATTGAAAATTTTTTACTTTAGAATTCTGACTGATTTTAGAGAGTTTGTGTCCTCTTGGAGCAAGCTTATTTGTCTACCCACAGTTTCAAAAAGCTTCCTATGTCCCTAGCTTTACAAATTAAAAAATTAAGTTGACTATATGAGAGTGTATCTAATAAACTACAACAGAAAAGTACAGAATATTCTCTAATTAGCTATATCCATTAATCTTATAATATGACAAATTAATGTCAAATATATGAATAATATAATTTTGTATACAATATTGCCACATGTTAATATAGAAAATTAAATAAGGATCATATAAAACAATATAGTTATCCTGATGTTCCACCCAGTTAAAATGAATTTTATGGTAGTAAACTCTCAGGCCAGTTAGTAGTTTGCTTAAATTCTTTCAAGTACTTCATCATGTGCTTAAAGTAAAGCTCATACTTGAGCACTTTGCTGACATCAGGATGCTGACTTCTAGGCAAAAGCATATTAATATAAACTCAATTGGATCCCTTAAATTTTACAGATGTTGGATATGGACTTTTCAGTTTATCTATAATAGGAACTTTTCATGCTTCATAAATACAGTTTATAAGAATACAATAACTAAACCTTATCTCACTATGGAATAGAAATCTTCTGATCCCCAATTGGATTTCTACTGCAGACCACATAAAACTCGTAAGATACTAAGATTTCACAGTGATATTGTGGAAGATGGATTATTTTTCAAATGTTGAGTTCCTCACCATGATAGCAGATCTTCCTTTATGATAGCTGTTTCAAAGACAGGACCAGAAATGGAAAGCACATATTGGTTTACTGCCCATTTCTAACCTCCCAGGTGATAATTCCAAGAAGTATGAGGAAGAAAATTAAAACCAAGAAAATAGATATGAAAATAGAAAAAGGAAGATGTACTGTGAGGTTTTGGAAGATCTATTATTCAGTAATTGCTGATACATAGCTTGTCTAGCATTATGTTGTTATATCACATTACTTTCTTTATACTGTTTTTCCTTTTTTAAAACTTTAAAATATTTCTATCCAAAAGCCATACACTGAATAGTTGTGGGATGGTTTTGTGGGGTTTTTTTTGTGGGTTTTTTTTGTTTGGTTGGTTTGGTTTTTTTTGTTTTGTTTTGGGTTTTTGTTGTTGTTGTTGTTTTGTTTGTTTGTTTTTTACGAAGACATCGAGTTATGTGTAATTCTTAATGTTAGATGTAAGTGTTAAGTCCAAATCCAAAACCAAATGTGGGTGCTGATTTCTAACCTGAATGAGTGGTGCAGTTAGACTTCAACACAGGATTTACAGAGTGAGATTCATCCTCTTTAGGTGTTTGTAGTAGAGATTGCTGTTTTGATCCAATTTACTCGCTTTAGTTTTCCACGATAGCCAAGGGAAGGAAAAAGTAATTTCTTGTCAAACCTGTGTTGTTGTACATAACTATGATAGCTGTCCCTAGAGTTGTCTGCTTCTCTCATTTGGCTATGAGAAAGGAAACTTACACTGATCAGCTGAAATATAGATATTTATGTTGAAGGCATCCAAAGTTAAGGGATGAAAATCCTATAATACCTCTATGAAGATCTCTTTTTGGATTATCTGAGATGTTATTCCTGGAGATGCCTGATCCTACAGAACGGTTTTAACGGGTAGTCATGCAAAACATACTTCTATCTGTACACTGACAAACTTAAGTAAATAACGTTATTAGATGTTTGTAGCAAGTTATATTTTAGTTGGAGTAATTCATAAGTTAACTTATTTCCCAGGTGTTCAAAATCTTTAAGTGTATACAAGAGATTGATGATTGATGGTGATTGAATTTGCAGGATGTGTGTATTGAAGCTTCTTTTAAGATGCATTCCAGCTGTGGTGTGTGTGATGTGGATGCTTCTCCATAGGGAGCTCTGTTAAGCTAGCAGTCTGTGCAGGCAATGTATTGGGGGAAAAAAAAAACAAAGAGGAGCATGGATGTACTATGATTTTGAGCACTTCCTGGGATTTTTGTTGCCATTCATTACTGCCTAGCAAACAGTCATGTCATTAAAATGTACAACCAAACAGCAGCAGCTCTATTTAGAAGCAAATGAAGGGCTGAAATATTCCTGTGGCTGGAGAGCCCTTTTTTTTTTCTAGCTGGCAAGTTGGTGGCACTGCCAATGTCAATTGGTAGTCAATTCATTGGGAAAATGGAGTTTTCCTGGAGCTGGGTTCAGCTGTGTAACAGAAAGGTGCTAAGAGCTGAGCTGTAAATGTCAGGGCTTGTGCTGTGATCCACCCCAGAAGGGGAGGGTAACCCAGGTTCTTGTTAGTAAATCCCTTGGGGTGGATTAGAGTGAAATGACACTGAATGATCAGTGTTTATATATATATATATATATATATATATGTAAGATTTATTTTAGAAAAATTTGGTTGCAAAGGAAAACAGGTATGTAGCCATTTTGATTATTATTATCTATAATAACATAGCAATATAAAACCATAAAAATAACAGTTAAGAAAATGTATAAGGAAGAGAAAGAAAAGATAA